AGACATAGTTGATTTATACTCCCTCCTGTCTTTTACAAGGCTCCTTTAATTATCTCAACAAAATAAAAAAAATTAAGTTATTAATTTTATTTGAAGATAAAATAAACTTTAAGTTTTTTTTTATTTAAATAAAAAATTTTAAAATTTGCATTATATTCTCTCTCATTATTAATGAATTTAAATGAGAGTAATATTAAAAAATGTATTAATACCCCATCAAATGTTTTTACATTAAGAATCAAATAATTTTTTAAAATGCGTCCTATAATAAGAATTGAAAGGAATAATAATTATAAAGTTTTTAACAGAATTGGTTTAATTAACTCGCAGAAGCTGCTCATGAAAAACCACATTTTGAGCTTTCATAGTTGGTTTTTTGGGCTCATAATTAATTGACTAAATCCAAATGTGAGTGTTTGGTTGAGTAAATCAAATATGGCTGTTTAACTTGGATAAAAGTGATTTATAATAAGTATGATTTTGAGTAGAATTAATTTAATTAAAATTAAAATGCAGAAGCATGCGAAAGGCCAAAAGCTATGCGCATGAGAAAAATTACATTTTGATCTTTGAATGATTGATTTAATAAAAATTATTGGCAGATTATATATAAATACTTTTATAAGCGTTCTTTAAATTCCAAAATCATGTCCTGACCCGTAAGTTTCGTGACCAAAATAATTTAAACTTTTCTGTTAGCTGAAAAAAAACAAAATTGGTGTTTGATTGAGTAGCCAGATAATTTTTGATTAGATTAATGAGTAAATAGAACCCTGAACTTTTGCTCAAAAATTATCCTGAATCCTAAACTCTTAAAATATGCAAGATAAATTTTAAAATTTTAAATTTATAATAAAATAAATCCTGACCGTTAACTTTTTAATATTATTATTGTCTACGTAGGTACTGTTCAGGGTTTATTTACCTATGAATTTAACTCTGACTATTACAGTATCTGTGTAGATAATAATAGTGTTAAAAAAGTTATCGGTTTGGGGTTTATTTTGCTATAAATTTAAAATTTTAAAATTTATTTTATACATTTTAAGAGTTTAAAGTTCAAGGTAATTTTTGAGTAAGAGTTCAAGATCCTATTTATTTATTAATCCTTTTAATTTAATCAAAATATGAGTGTTTGCATAAATTTTTAGAAAACCACATTTTGAACTTTCAGAATTATTTTTAAGATTTTCAAATTGGCACATGTGATGGTCAAGATGTTGATAAAACTCACACCTCTCTGAAACCAAAAGTTTCACCACTTGCCCAAAATAAAAGAAAAATGATAGTTAGATTTTAAAATATTAAATTAATATTAGTTAATTCTTTAATTTTTTTCAAAAATAAATTAAAAATATCAATCTAAATTATTATAAAGTCAAAATTTCAATTTAAAATTAAATAAATTTAAATATTAAAATAATTTTTAAATTATAACATCTATTTGTAATGATTTAAATTAATATTTATAATTTATTTTATAAAAATTTTTATTAAAAATTTAACTGTTATTAATTCATTCTTTGACAACTTAACAATCATTCTCTAAAAAACAAAAGAGTTGGTGAAACTTTTTAACAAATGAGCATGTGAGCAGCTCTGAGCTTCGAAATATATTATAAGTTTTCGAAATTTAATTTACTTAAACTTTTGTCTTAAAAATTTCCACTTCGAATAAATTTTATACTTGATATTTAAAACTGATTGATACTTGCGTGCATCGTAAGGCCATGTGGTGCTCATTTTCAAGAATCGACCCTATGATTTCACACGATTCCTACGAGTAGGAGTGAAATGATTAAACGGAGACATGATTATGATAAAGAAATAAAGAAAGCCAAAGGTTTAGGGGCCAGAATACAAATATTAAAATGAGAAAGGCCAGGTGTCAAAAAGAGAATCGCAAAATAAAAAAAAGGGCAAAAAAAAAGTGAGGACTTTTATTTTTTGTAAAGAGAAAGGAAAGATGCATGAACTGAAAGTGTGCCACGAACTATGCGTGACATTCGAGACCTTTTGTTTGTTTGAGGAGGCCCATAATTTGCACGGCACTTATCACCTGCACCACCAGGTACTCTAATTTTCAATGCTCCGAACCAATCAATTCCCCACAGATAATCTATTACTTTTTTTATAAAAAATGAATTTAATTTCAAAACAAAAGTAATTATAAAATTAAAATCTATTGATTTTTTATATATATATATATATATATATGTGTGTGTGTGTGTTTATAATTTATTAAAATATAAGTTATTTTTAATTGAATTATAACTTTAAATAAATTAGTTAATTATTTTTAAATTATATATTATTTTTATATTTATTTTATTTATGAGGTTATCTCAATTAAAAAGTATTATTGATTAAAATTTTTAGTTAAGTTTTTTTTTAAAAAAATTATTAATTATACTTTAAAAATTTAAAATACCTTATATTTTTTAACATAATATTTAAAAAAATGCCTTATAATATTGAATTGAAGGAGTATAGATATTCTTTCTAATCTACAACATAAGACACTTTTAACTAATTTCAATGGAATTAAGAAAACTAGTGAAAATTAATTTTTATTTTTATTATTAAATAAATAAAAATTATAAATACCTCTCAAGGTTACCTTGCCATCGAAATCATTAAATAGGTTCCCATAAAAAAAAAAAAATCATTAAACGGACACTTGATGAGCTTATGGATGTTATTTTAAATAAATTGAGTAGAGGCTTGGCGAGCATATAATCTAATTTTTAGCCTACTTCATCATTTTCATTAAAAAAATCAGTATATCTTAATTATATTTAATTTCTTTCTCATAAAATCTTTGACTACAGTACAATCAGAAAATGCCCGTGGCATGGGACTGGAACAAAATTTCCTCTCTCTCTTCTCTCTCTGTTTTTTTTTTTTTTTTGGGTCTCCAAACATTTTAGGCATCGATCATTATAAGAAATTCTAACTTAATAAAATGCAACTCATATTTTAGCAGGTCATAATATATTACAATTGTTTTATTTTTTTTTCTTAAGCAAACTTTACCCTCTTAGATTACATAAAATATGATTATAATAGTTAAATAAAAATAATAGGGTAGATTTTTGTATAGCAAATTAAAGTTTGAATTCTCATTATTATCGTGATTTGAATCAGAGTGTCTTTAATGAGAACATACTCCTCCAGTTTCTATGATAAGGCACTTATTTACCTCACTGAAATTAAGAAAATATGATTAAATTATTAACTTTGTTTTAAAATAAAATAAACTTTCAATTTTACCTTATTTGAATGAAAAAAGTTTCAATTTGCATTACACTCTCTCTTATAAATAATGAGTTAAAATATGAATAATAATATAAAAAATAAAATTAATAATTTATTAAGTGCCTTATATTAAGGACAAAATTTTTTTATAAGGTTTTATATAATTAAGACAGGAAGAAGTACTTGTGGTAATAAAAAAATAACTTATTACTCCTCCATTAAAAAATATAAGATATTTTTTGAAAAGTTAGATATTCAAAAATGTAAAGTATTTTTAATCTTTCAAGGTGTAATCATTGATTTTTTTTTTTCAAAAGTACCCTAACTTTATATTTATTATAGAGTATTTAATAAGGATAAATATAAAAAGATAGATTAATTTAAAAGTAAGTAATTATTTTATTGAGAGCTGAGATTTGGTTAAAAATATTTTATATTTTAAATGGAGGGAGTATATTTTTACTTTGCATTTTAAAAATATAATACCTTATGTTATTTCTAAACTGACTACTCATAAAAGAAAATCGAAAGATAATTTAAAAATTATATAAATATTAAATAGGTTAATATGATATCATAAAAATATAATATCAAAATAATTTTTAAGTAATAGTGGTCACATTCAAACATGCTTTAATTTTCTTATCAAAATGAAAAAAATAAACACAAAAAAGTAAATTATGGTCAAAAAAGTTGAAAAGAAAACAGTTAAATTTAAAGAAAAGATAGTAGGTCCCATAACACTGTAGTTTGACTATTCTATAAACAGTAAAATTTATTATATATAAAATTATCAAAAATATTTGTAAAAAATTAGTTTAATGTTATTGATTTTTAGCACAGTGCCTTATTTTACTTTTTAAATCAGTACTAACTAATAAAAAATGTCTTTTATTTTAGGTGTAGTATTAAATTGTGGTGAAGACAACACTAATAGTAATAACTTAATACAATTATGATGTAAAACACTGTCTCATTTCTACAATCTAACATAATCTAGAAAATGGAAGACTAAAGTGCAATTCCTCATGTTTGTATTATTGGGCTCTCCTCAGCAAGTATGATGTTGACTGAAAGTTGTATCCACATATTGTGGTATTATTATATTGGGATAATTACGTGGAACCACCTTAGATTACAGACTTTAAACTTTAACAAATATTAAATGTTTTTATTATTTTTGAACCTTTACAAAAAATGTTACCAAAATGTTTGTGGGTCCACGTGTTTTTTTTTAATGAAAATTGAGAAACGAGCTCCATTGTTTATTACATTCAAAATTCAACATTACATGTTAAATTTAACAAATTTATAATTAACAATAACCACAGTGAAACTAATAATAAAATTATTTAAACGTAATAATACCTTTGATTCATGAAATTTTCTTTTTAATATCTCCTAACATAAATTTTCTAACCTTTAGATTCATAAATTCATAAATATTACTATGATACGCTTACACTGACGTTTAACAAGTGAAGCACAAAATTTATTATTTATGAATTATGCAACTTGTTTTACTTTTCGTCAACAAGGTATAATAATTTTTATTACATTTATATTGATATAAAAATTTGACACACATATAATTTTAATTTGAAAATTTTATTAAATTTAAAATTCTAGTAACTGCCATGATTGGGGAAGGAGCAGGTGCGTGGGTAGTGCTTGCAGTAGATGATAACTTCTCAAGTCCAATCGTGCGGCCTTTAAATAACTGCCAGCTGCCTCTTATTTTCCTCCCCCGCTCTCTCTCTCTCTCTCTCTCTCTCTCTCTGTCTGTGTGTGCCCCATGGCTTCCTCTCCGTCATCTTCTTCCTCAAGATCTACCATGTTCTACTATGGCGGCTTTGAAGACCACCGCGACGAGCCTCACTTCCTCGAAGCTTGCTTCCTCTGCCGCAAACCTCTCGGCCTTAACAGGGACATCTTCATGTACAGGTCTGCTTCTCTCTCTTCCCCCCTGTTTCAGTCTCAATCCAAAAATCTCTGGTACTGCCAGATTCAGATTAATGTCTCCTTATTTGATTTGATTGATTTGCTTAATTCTCTGGATGTATTGATTAGTCTGAGGTTTCTGGTCGATTTGAATGGGTTTAGGGTTAAATCTAATGAGTATTTTTGGGCTTTGCAGAGGGAACACACCGTTCTGCAGCAAAGAGTGCAGACAAGAACAGATAGAAATCGATGAGTCAAATGATAAAAGCTGGAAGGTTTCATCGAAAAGAGGCGTGAGACAATCGGAATCGAATCAGAGCTCCACAACCAGTAAGACTGTAAGAACCGGAACCGTCGCTGTTGCCTGATTGATTTTCGCGATAATAATCCAATTTTGAGGAGCAAACCGCGAAAGAGATGTGAAATCTCAGGCAAGAAGAAAAAGAAGAAGATGAAGAGTAATAAATTTGATTGTAGATTCTGAGGAATTGGGTGAATTATCTTCTTGTGTCTGATTCCTTCTCTGTGAAGGTTGGGGTTCTGAGAGAGACATGATGATCCCACCGAAGAATTTTGCCTGTTTTGTTTTAATTTTGTGTTTTGGTTTCAAAGTTTTAAGAGGCAAGGCTGATAGATGATGATGATGATTGTGTAATTCTTGTATAAGGCCTTGAGAGATGATGCTTTGTTCTGTGAAAAACACTCTGGTGCAATGGAAGTATCAAAGATACTGCTATGTTTGCATATTCAAAGCCCGATGCCTCAAGATCCTTAATTTTTTTTTAAAGAAAAAATTAAATAGAAGTTATTTATATTCAAGATTTATGGAGAAACTTTGTGATTGTGTTTTTGCCTACCTCTTTTGCAATGATGGGAAGAAAGTGTAGAAAAAGGAAAAGGTAGATCTAATCATGTAAAAGACTAAAGCTGAAATGAAGTTTGCTCTCAAGTTTTTTCTGGGACCCATCCTTTGGAGATGCAAGACACTTGTTATTGTCTGATTTGATTTAATTTGATTTTTAATTTGTACTTACCTTTATTATACTACTAACAGTTTATCAGTAACAATAATGATATCATTTATAGGGTTGGATGAGAAAAAAAATTTAATTCTACGGGAACTTATTTATTTTTAATACTTTTTTTAATATTTTTTATTAAATATTTTAAATAAATATTATTAATAAAATTTAAAAATATATATTAAAAATATAGATAAAAATTTATTAAATTTTAAGATATAATTAATGGGATGTAAAGTTTCCCTCTTTTTTTATATATTAAATATTTTTAATCAAATCACTCAAATCAATAAAATTTAGTTATGTAATTAAAAGTGCATTAACATTTTAATTTTATCCTTAATTATTATAAATAAAAATAATTTTTTAAAATAAATTAACTAGAGTACTTATCTTTTCTTTCTAATTTAATACAGGTATAATAGTTTATTTATTAAAAAATATGCTAATAATATTTTAATATCTTATATTTAAAGACTTTTTTTTAAATTTTTTTATATATAAAGATGAGAGAGTATAAATAAAATCAGAAGAAATATTTTACATCATTTTACCTGTCGACTTGTTTTGGCAAAATAATAAAAATAACAACAACAACAACTGTAGCCATGTTATTTTTATTTTTTTTTGAAGAAGACTGCATTGACTTGCAACTTGCGAGTCTGATGAGAGTGAGTTAATGGGCTGTCTCTGTCAAGATTTAAAGAGTTTTAAACGCAGCTACAATGAATTCCATGAATGTGAATGCACCTAACTTATATCTTCATTTCAATTAATACTTAAAACTGTTTTTAATTTCATATTTTTATTTTTATTTATTTTGACGGGAATTATATTAGTTATTGTGCTATGTTTATAGAAATAAAAAATAGCGAGAAGCTAAGTAATATTCAGTTCCTATTTATATCAACAACTTCTCTTTAGGATACATGGTGTAATTTTAAAATATAATATATACTTCCTCCATTTAAAAATGTAAAATATTTTTAATCAAATCTCACTCTCAAATAAAGAAGTTATCTACTTTTTAACTAATCCTATCTTTTCATATTTACTCCGATTAAATATTCTATATAAATATAAAATTATTATCAATAGGGATACTTTAAAAAAAAGTAATGATTATATCTTAAAAGACTAAAAATATAATTTATTTTTAACATTTAACTACTCAAAAAATATTTTACATTTTTGAATGGGGGAGTAATATACACGGACACACACTTCAAGTCTTATATGTAGTTTGCATTTTAGAAAAAATTTATAGTACTATATAAGTCACTTTTCAAGAGTTTGAATAATATTAGTTGTTTTATTTCAAATATGTTATTCTCATTTTCAAATGAGAAGATTGAAAATGTTTGTTTTTATGGGGAAGAAATGAAAACCAAAGTAAGTCTTAGACAATTTTAATAACATAACTAACTTTTTTTAATGCTTGTGAATTAACTATAAGTAAATAAAGACGGGAGGAAGTATATATTATCTTTTGCCAACTATACATAGTTTTATAATTAGTCATCAAAGGATAATAACTTCTCTCTACTCATGAAGATGCACACCATCCTATCTTATTTATATATAGGACAGTGAGAGGAATTGTTTTTTGTTCTACTTAAAAATTACATCATTAAATTTTTATTATAAATTTTTTATTTTATCTTCTATCAGAAATTGAAGAGAAAAAATATATTATTAAAATATATATATTTAATAAAAAAGGTAAAAATCATTAAATATTCAAGCAAAATTAATAATTTCTAAGGTTTTTTTAGTTCTGTAAAATATGTTAAAAGTAACTTATAAATAAAATTAGATAAGTACTAATTACTTTTAAAAAATATGTAATTTTACATAACTAACCTTATGTTAAAAATACTACTCTCTCAATTCCAAATTATAAGACACTTTTAGATAAAATCTCATATATCAATAAATCTCATTAAATACACTTTACAACCTTACTTTTTGAAGATAAAAATATAAATTTTTAAAAATATCTTTATTTAATACTCCAGTAATAAAAAAATATTGAAAAGAGAGAATATATAGAAAGGATAATAATAAAAAAGTATCATTAATGAAATTTTATTTTTATTAAAGCATTTTATGTTTTAAGATGCTTAATTTTTTAAAGGTATTTTATAATTTAAAATAAAAGGAGTATACAGTTTTTAATAGTAGAGGGTAAAAGGAAGCAGCTTTGAGCAAGGAAGTAAGAGCCGTCGGTTGGAACTTGGAAATGAGTAATGAATGTTTCAACTGAATTCTGTTTTTTTTTTTTAATTTTAAATCCAACTTTAAAGAGTTTTATAAATAGAATTAAAGAAAGTACTAAATAAAAGTAGATTTGGCTGAACAAATTACCATATGGGATGGCTCATCAATACATAATTGATGTTGTAAAATCCCAGAACATGATGTGACTACCATGTTGGTGTCCGATGGAAAATGTCATGTTGGTCATAAAATGTTATGTTCTTTTAACCTATTGGATTTTAAAAAAATTCATATTTTTTACTATGAGAAAATTCGTGTTGGTTTTATTTATTTGGTGATCGGATATATTCTTTCAAGTTTATTATGTTAAGTGGAACAAGATTGGTATTGATCTATGCACGTAGAAATTACTAATTCTTAAAAATAGTAATTTATCTCATTTACATAAAACAAGAACAACAACAATAAAGGCAATGGGACAGAGTCTAGCCCAATATAAAGCGGCCCATGTAATTTCACAGGCCCAATGACTCGGTTGTTTCAGGTTTTCAAAGGGGAAAAAGATCACTTTCTAAAAAAGATTTAAGAAATTTTAGGAATTTGTTTTTGAAAGTTTTCAAAAATAATCTGAAAAAAAGTATTTTTTTATTATTTTGAAAAACTACTTTAATTAGTTTATGATTATTTTAAGAACCACTTACAAATAAAAATATTTATATGATTTTTAGCCAAAGGTAAAATAATATATATGTATATATATATATATAGATATAGGACCCTTTTCTTGTAATTAGTAACCCTGATCTTTTAAAAAATACACTCATTTCCAAACCGATCCTCATTTGATTTTATATTGGAAAAAGTGGCATAATATGTAGACTTTATTAGTTTATTTCCTCACCCAATTTTACATGAATTGAATAGGGGCATATTTGGAAATACATAATAAATGTTGCATGATATTATATAAAAGGTCTTATATTTAAAATCGAATGAAGTGCTGTATACAAATCTCTAAATAATAAATTAATTTTTTTGACAATTTTAAAACTTAAAATGTAAAAAAAATAGGTATGAGAAATGATGACAGGCAATAAAATTTTATTATGATATCATAAACCAAACACATTACGTGGCTGCCTTACAAGAGCAAAGACTTGCTGTACATATTTTATTATGACATGAACTAACAACACTTGATAATTAATTATTGACTCAAAGTTGGGTCACAGATAAATGAAAAAATAACAAGAGTAAGGATCTTGTTAGAAGATTAATGCAAAATAAGAATATTTAAGTTTATAAAATTTGATGATTTAGATATAAGCAGGTCCTCATTTTGTATTAATTTTCTTTCAAGGTTCTTAATTGTCATTCTTGTATTATTTAATTACTTTGAAGCATGAATGATTTGAAATTGAGTTTTGGCATATGCAAGAAGATCATCTCTGGGAGGTAAAGCCAATTTGATTGTTGGGTGATTCAGAATCTCATAGCTCCATTTCTCAAGCTTTGGAAATTTCTCACCATTGAACCAACCAAGACCACCAGCTTCTTGAACTACAGGCAGCCAATAAGCCACAAACAAACCAGCTATGTCCACAAGCCCAATTGAACCTCCATTGAAGAATTTGCCTTTGACCTCATTTTCTAGGGCCTTCAAAGCATCCATTGATTCTTCAACACACTTCTCTCTCTCTTTCTCATTAGGGTTCCATGCTGCTTTAAATACAGCAGGCGTAACCTATATCCAAAAATGTCAAGTCATAGTTTTTAGCTTGATTTTGTCATAAATCAATCTAAATTGCCAATGTTAAATCTATATTTTTTCTACTAGTGAATCGTACTATTCCATAATTCTAGAGTAGATCTAGTATGTGTCGCCTCAACAAATTTTTTTTTCTTACAACATCGTGCTATTACAATATAAAGAAAGATATAATATATAATTAGATAGTTCATATATATGTAGATGCTGAGTAGTTTTATGGGTTATCTAAAGTGTGTGTGAATTATAAATTTTATATCAAAGAAAAAGTACGGAAACTATGTCACAAGATACTTTGTTTTATTTTTTAATGAAAGAATTAGAGCCTAGAGTTATTTAATCATAGAATTGTTCTCAGATGATGAAGAAATTTACAATATTTCATTTTTAGGTGAAATTTAAAATATGTGTCATTGATAGTGTAAACTTGAGTACGGATTGACCATCATCCCTAAACTCAATGGAACGAATCCCTTGAATTAATGATAAAATTATATTTGTGCAAATAAAAAATTCATTAAAAAATTACATATTAAATATTTTATTAGTTAAAAATGATATATTAAAAAAAAAGAAACTTTCACATATTTTTGTAGAATTTTATTTCATTGTTGTTAGCCATGGAATAAAAATAATCAGAAATAATGTCTGAATAAGACTTTAACCTAAAATTAATGTCACAGTCATACTCATTTAAGAAAAGAAGGAATACAAAATAACTTAGAGGGATAGGGAAGAAGAAGAAATATATCACATCTAAAGGGGAAAAGAGTCATAAAAAACGTCGACACCTTACTGATCGTTCTATCCTCTTCTCATATATAGCCTTGGGTTCATGTTTAGAATTCTCTCTCATATATATGATTTCTAACAACATCGTACAAAGCAGCAAATATGCTACTACTCTTCTTGAATGATTCCAAGCCACGTGTCCTTCTGGGTCTCACCAATACTTGGAGGATCCATGACACTTAACTACAAATTAATAAAGCTTGACATGTTACTTGCTTATCTTTTCCCCCAATTATTTGAAAGAGATCTATTTTGTTTCTGATTGGAAAGTCAACCCTACTAATAAAAAGCTCCAAATCTATTTTAACTTTAAATTATTCAATTAAAAAAAATTATGACTTAATAACACATACTCTTTTCACATAAAACGAACTAAATTTGTAATCGAAGGCTCATCTTTCTTTTTTTCTATTTAAATAATTATCTGATATTCATTATTATCGCATTATATTTGGGCATTGTTAGACTTAATTAACAATTACTCTTTTAACATAATTTTTTTTTTCCAATTTACAACAATTAATTAATCCTCTATATCCTATGGGCCAATTAAATCCTTTCTACTCAAGTCTAACCTGGCTCATTCTAAATCGTTTGAAATTATGTCCCTAATTAATGAGAAAATAGAGATATATAAGACAAAGGGAAAATGTAATTTTGAATTCCTACACTTTGCTCTAGTTTTGCAATAAATTTTTACATTTTTTTTAGTATTTTAGATCTTTACACTTTTGAGAGACTTGAAACAGCAAAAAATCAAAAGTGTAAGGATGTAGAACATAAAAAAAAATAAACTTATAGTAAAACTCGAATAAAGTATATGGACTTAAAGTTTTACTTTTTCTAAGATAAAACCTGAATTTGCTTACCTTATCATCGATGAACTTAGACCAGAAACGAGCCAAGGCTTTTTGGTGAGGATCAGAAGGCAAGAAGGGGTGACCATTATTATTCCAAGTCTCATCAATGTATTCAACAATCACAAGTGACTCACAAATAGGTTTCTCATTGTGAATCAGCACAGGAACCAGCTTGTGAACTGGATTGTACTTTAGAAGAAGATCACTTTTCTTGTTCACAGATTCATGAACGTATTCATATTCCACTTCCTTCAGTTTCAGAGCTATCTCTGCTCTGCTTGCAAATGGGCTTCCTACGATTCCCAAGAGCTTCACCTCTTCCTTTCCGGCCATGGCTATCGACGATGACGACGCTTCTTTCTCCAGAGCGACTTGAAGGTCTTCTGATGATATGTGTGTGTGTGTGATGGGTTTTGGTCTTTGAATTTGTGGTTCAGTTTCTTGTTGTATAAATACACACACAAGAGAAGTGATCGATGTGTGTCGATGAACCAACTAAATCGAATATTTTATAAGGACAAGTCACAGGAGGGTTTTAAAATGTGTTGGTCAACTCTTCATATGTGTATGGCACACGTTACTTGTACTATGAAATCATATACAATAAAAAGAAATTCAAGATAAGGTTTAAAATGATTATATTAAATAATATAAAAATAGAGATTCTTATAATTATTGTTATAGTTATAAGATGATAATATGTCATTTTCTAAGTTTGATATATAGCAAATGTAAAAAGCATTAAGTTTTTTTTTTCTTTTAGTTTGACCTACTTAACTATTTTGTCTTTAATGAAATGGTCGAGGAAGTTGTTGACATGTTTCACGGCGAGTTCATCTTTTTTATCATTTTTTTTATACACAAAAGTTTATATAAGTTAGATTATGGGGACTCACTATAATTAAAATGCATCTTCATACTTGAAGAATGACGAGTTTATGCTTATACGTAGTACAAATTACAATCTGATTTGACGAAGAATAAAAATAATTTACTTATAATTGATCATAACAAGATGCCTTTTGTCCCCTTATCCATTCACATTAATAATTACTTTAGTAAAGTCATCAGATGCATGAGAATAAGTTTATAGAAATATATCCAGGACGAGGAAAACTTATATATTTTGCCTTACAGTTGGTCTAAAAAATATTTAGCTTTATATACTTAATATATTTTTTTTCCCAATTGAATCAAGATATGTGGATATTTTGTACATTATTTATTCTATAATAAATTATTTTTATTAATTTTATTAATATATTAAGATCTACTTGCCATAATTTGATTGGATATAAATATATTAAGTATATAAGACTAAGTACATAAGTCTTATCCATCTAAGAATCAAATGGAAAAATGAAGGAACATGCTTAAGAGTTTCTTTCCCTACTCATCCTATTAGCCTTTTGATTATTTGAATGTCTATTCTAAATATAAAGGTTACTCCCCGTTGTTAGTTGTTAATTAATTATAAAAATTATTTTAATTACTTATAAAGATTAAGCAATTAATGTAGTTATTTTAATTAAAAATAATAATTTTGTTAATGTATCACCTGAAAATGTGATGTGGATGATGTGTGAGAAAAGAAATTTCAGAGTGAAAACCAATTTCGTAAGTGTTTCTACCAAAATTTTGAGAAAAATTTTGAAAAATCATTTAAAGGAGATAAGGATGATTTTTGTAAACAAAAAAATAATTTCAAGAGTCAATTATGTGTGAAAAAGGGTTTAAATACCAAACAACACTAGCCTATGAAGACGGTTACTTAAAACTGATTATACTGAATTAATATGACTTTAGAGTCATTGTAGTTACCTTTTCTCAATCACATGTAAAACATTAAAAGAGAGAAATAAAATTAAAAAAAAAAATAATAAAATGAGGAATTATTTGTGTACATTCACAAGGGTTGACTCACTACTATAGAAATGAGATTTAGTAGCATACATTTTATAAAAAAAATAAAATAAAATGCCACTAATATTAATGGAGTGAGTGATACTAAATTACTTTGGGTATATAATATATTAATGGAGTGAGTGATACTAAATTATTGTGAATATCAAGTGTGAAATTCTAGAAAATATTAAAATTTATTGGTATGTTTTTAGGATTCACGAGTGATACTAAATCACGATAAATTAGTAGAAATAAGATATCGTGAGTGACACTAAGCCATCGCAGGTATCAAATTTTATATTTAAAATTTCAAAATTAAATTATTTTATAGATAACTCACTTTTATAAAATTCTTTTAGAGTTTGCCATGAGTAATACTAAATTACCGTGTGCACATAGAAAGGTCAACCAGCAGATTGTGAGTGATACTAAATCATCGCAAATTCCAACACTGGTCATTTTCTTTTCACCCAAAGATATTTTTGAGGAACAATTTTTTTTATAAAAGATAATAAATAAATAAAAACAATACAACCCAAAATATCAATCTATTCATAAAAGAAATTAATTAAAAGAATTTAAAAAATAAATAGTAATATTTCAAACTATGTGAATTTTGATCCCCATCATAGGATACGTAAGCCCTAGACTTTGACCCTAGGTCAAGTCCTCCTTTGTAAATAAATAATTTATTTTCATTTTTTAATCTCTATTTTTGCATGTGATTAAAAGGTAATTAATATATTATTAAAAGGTCAATTAATCTTATACAATCAACTTAAGGTAATTGTTTGAATGAATATGTATCGTGGGGTGTCTAAGACATTTTCTATGCATAATCAACTCCCGAACCCTTTTCATAAACCATTTTTTTCCATTATATAGTTTTCCAATGTTTTTTCAAAAACTTTGGTTGCAACTCTTATTTACCTACATTTATTGACCTTCCCTCTACGGGAAAGGCACGATTTGAGCATGACAGCTTGTTCAAGTATACTACAACAAGTTCCTTTTTTCATTTTTTTTACCTCTTATGTACCTATCTATATATATTTATGTGGATCTTCACAATTTTTCTTTTGTTTCTCTTCACTTGATAATTTTTCTTTCCATGATCTTGAACGGTTTGTTCTTTTAATTTGCTAAAAGGCACATTTGTTGGTGAAACAATTCTCTAGATATAAAGTTTTATTGAGATCTAAGAAACAAATAGTAAAATCTTTAATCTTCGTGCTTTCAATGATAAACGCCTTGGTTGTTAAGTTTTGGACTTTTAAGAAGGTAATGATGATAATCTCTATTAATCATTGAGAAAGAAACTTATTTTTAGTTTAGAATTTGCCTTTTTTTTTTTATATGTATCTGTTCAACATTGAAGGATAGCTAAAACTTGTGCAGCCAATGATAGCTTGTCTTTTCTGCATAGTTTGTATAAATTGCTTTATTTAATCTCTGTTAAACATTAGTCATAATTTTTTTTTCCAAATTTGTTGTTTATTATTGATAAACCTTATTATATCTCTCAGCTAGTATTTAACTTATGTTTTTTCTTTATACTTGATTTTTTATGACCTTGCTAAATTTATCATAGTTTTGTATAGTATAAACTTGATTATTTATTTTTGTTAATTGTATAAATAAAGTTTATTGTATAAAATAATTGTATATTTACTAAAAAATTATGTATAATTGATGGATATATAAGATATCATATTATCTTATATATTAAAAAGTGATGTTTTTTAATTTTTTTAAAAATAAAAGCAGATAGGTGGCGTTTCACCTATCTCCTTTTATTTTAAAAAAAGTAAGTAAAGAGGTGACGTTTCTTGCACTCTTCCCTTTTATTTTTTAAAAGTAAGTAAAGAGTGGCATTTCTTTAAGGAAACACCACCATTGTTACTAGCTTCTTGTGGTGTTTCATTAATTAATAAAATATTACCTAAGATCTAAGATAACATTAAATCTGATAGCATTTTATAAATGCCATGAAACTAAAATTTTAAATGGCACCAAAAAATATTTTTGTAGTAGTGATTTAATCTAGAATTAGAGTCTAGTAAAGCCTATATAGCCTGTAATAGAGATCAAAGTTCACGTATGTTGGGAGTAGAATTGCATATCATTGGACTGGTGTTGTTTAATTTATTATTGGATAGGGCAGACTTAGCTTATGGGCACAATAATTAGCTAATGTAACATCCTTAAAATTAATCAAAATGGGGCACACAAAAAAGATACATCTTTAGAAAAACCTCAATTTTGGGCCGGATCTTGCCCTAAGAAATCATTTACCATACATACCAAAGCAAAATGCCCATCACAGTGGAAGGGGCTTCCACTGTGACGAGCAAAATACAACAATCCTAGTATAAACACAAACACATGAAGGATTGTTGCACTCTTCGCAAGTGCACATACCTTGACAAGTAATATAAAGTGAGTAAAGTATCATTTTCATGAAATTTTGTTTAAAAACTATGATCAAGCAAAAGACTAAGTAAATCCAATTAAGTTGAGTAAAACATAGTTAGATGAAGTTGATTTTGCAAATTAAATTAAAATTCAAAAATAAAGAAAAGCAAGTGATTTACAAAATTTAAGTATAAATTGAGACCTAAGATTATTTATCCCCCTTGTATTTTCATAACACTATAATTACTTCATTTCATAAATACTTTAATAAACATAAGAGCTAACCAAGGGTCCTAAAAATACTTGAACAAACTCTCTCAAGTCATGAACAAGTGTTCAATGTAATTAATTGCTCAATTTCTTGTTACAATCAATAAAATCTAATTTTAAGTTTCAACCCTAATGTGGCTATGTAATGTTAGCAAATATATCTCTATCTTACTCACAAAACTATCTATTTATAATGCAAACTTCAAGTTCTTACACTATTTAATTCAGGTTTTACATGCAAGTTAGTTGTCTAAAACATCACCCGAGTGAACAAAACAACTAAATGATGGCCAATCACTTAACCACATCATTAAATTTTTATCACACATTTTCTTTTACTCTCTATTAAATGTTGGACAGAAAAATATATTATTAAAATATGTATATTTAATAGGGACAAAGTTGAGAACTTATTAAATTTTAAGACAGAGTTCATAAGTTTTAAGGTTTTCCTTGGTACTGGTTAAACATGTTGGAAATTACTTATAAATAGGATCGAGAAGTAATTCTATAGTTAAGTGTTTAGCTACTCATAATCATTCAAAAGATATAAATACACAAAATATTTGAACCCATATAAGAATATAGGAGAGGAAAGGAAAGAGAAATAAAAAACCTAAAGAAAAGGAGTTCCAAATATCTTCAAAACTCCAATCTTTTGATCCCAACTCTTCTAATACACAAACTCTAGCACAACTAAACTCCAAATATGTCTCAAAATGTTTAGAATGTGTTATGGGTCAAGCAAGTGGCAGATAGGTATCATATGCAAGCATTTTTAGATAAATAAAATGCAAAGTTTTGCTGATAAAG